TGTGTGTGTGTGTGTGTGTGTGTGTGTATTTATAAAATAACCACTTTTTAATAAATATATTACTAAGTTGTTTGCTCAATCCTACTCTTAATTCAGGATTTAAATTCTGACTTTAGGTATGGAAGAGACTATGTTAAGGGGAATATTCATCTTGTATAAAGATTAGTCATTACTTTTGATAGTAGAGATTTTGTACCAATATCATTGATTACCTAAAAAAAACTTCATTGTGTTTTTGAGTCAACAATTAGTCAAATTCAAATGAACCACAAAATTAATCTAATAAAAAGTTAGTCAAAGAATAAAATAAAATGGTCAAAAATTAATTAAAAAAATTACCAATCAATAATTTTTAAATACATTAATATTTTAATTTTTTTTAACTAAAATTAAGTTAAGTTGTGTTTGAATTGAGTATTTTAAAAGCAAAGAATTTTAAATTTTAGAAATTTCAATTACTACAATTGAAATTTCTTCATTTTTAAATTCTTGTTTTAAGATAAAGAATTTTTTTTTATTTTTGTGTTTCGATCAATTACTTAGATTTTTTCATCTTATAAATAACTGAATTCTTTATTTTTATTTAAATAAAATAATTAAATTTATTTTATTTATAAAATATTTTATTTAAAATAAAATAATTATTTTTTACTTATAAATTATATTATTTGGAATAATAACATTAATAGTTGCATTTATCTTCATTCTCAAATCTGTATTGATAGTTTCATTTTAAATGATAGTGACAAACACAATAACAGTTATTTTTATAGTTACATTTTTGGAAAGGGCGGAAATTGTAGTGAAAATGAGAATTCTAGTTCTAGTATAATAACTAGTACAAATGATACAAATAATAAAAATTATATGATAGGTGAAAGTTTTAATAATCTCGATGAAAGTAAAAAACATAAGCATTTGTGGGTTGAATGTGTATTAAAAAAATTAAATACAAAATAAATATTTATGAACACTGTAAATATCATTTGAAAATGAGCAGTTCTAATAAAATCGAACTTTCGATTGCTACAGGTACAAGAATAAAATGGCCGCTAAGTAATGAAGATTCATATTTTTTAATTTGTTTAACATTAAAAATATTAACACTATTGATAATTATTTTTATTAATATAAACAAGCTAATTAATACTTTCTGTAACAACTCTTGTTATTTTACAAAATAAAGTACTAACATAATAGAAATTAGCATTTTTACCTGTAAAATGCACAAGTAAATATTTATGATATATAACAAAAAAATTTTAATAAATTATATATGTGAATTAAAATTATGTTTGAATATATATATTATATTTAAAATTTATATAAATAAATACGTTTAAGTGTATAAAATATACTTTAAATTTATAATAAAAATTTATATTATAACATAATATTTATTTTTATTTATTAATAATTTATTTTAAAATATTAAAATTTAATTCTTAAATATATGCAATAAATAAAAATTAAATTAAATAAAAAGTTAAAAAAAATTAAAAAAAAAAATCATTGAAGAAAAACCTCTAAAATCACTCTGATATAAAATAAAAACTCATGTTTAATATATAAAAATTAATATTTTAAATATCTATTGAAGTATTAACTTGATAACAATTCCAAATTATAAAGGATTTGACGTGATAAGATGCAAGAGATCGGAGCAAAGCAAGGTCAAGCAGAGAGGAAATGAAGACGGTAGAAATTTTAAAATTCCATCTTTTGCGATGAAAATTGGAATCCCGTATTTTTAGTTAACTAAAATTCTAATTTGAAATCATAAAATTGTAAATTCTTTCTAATAAAATATTCAAACAAAAAAATTTATCACATAAAATTTTAAATCCCTATTTAAATTACATTATTTTTTCATTTAAAATATCCTATTGAAGCAAAACATTAAAGAATTTTTCGTTTTGCTTACTATTAGAAATGTAAACATACTATTAGTAAATGTTCCTACAATTGAACTATTACACCTTAAACCTGGATCATCACTGACTGAATTAGCGATACAATTTTAAAAGTATTGAATATTCTATTTTCAATTTTATTGCCGGTAATCAAAGTTTACATTTGAATAATTTGTCTTAAAAAACTATAATTTATGTTTTTGCTGAAGTATATTTTATATGGAAAATACACAAATAGTTTGAATTGCAGAAGTTTTTTCGAGCTTTTTATGCACAAAAAAGTTAAGTTAGCACCTGTTTTAGAGGCATTTTGATACATAATACACTCTAAAGGCATTTTGAATCATTTTAATTTAAAACTTCTATTTTACAGTTTTTGTCTAACTTGATGCAAGAACATTTCAATAATGAAACTTCATCACGTGCTTCAGCATAATTATTTTGCATTGTTAATTCAAATTGTTAGTATTCTCGAAATTAGAAAATGAAAAAAATTATTCTCTACAGCGGATGAATATCGTGTACATGAACTGTTTCTATGCATGAACTTGTTAACACTCAATTATAACTACATTCAAAGTTATAAGTAAAATACATCAAAAAGAAATAAATTTACTTGGTTTCTAGATAAAAATAATGATGATAAAAAAATTGTAGAAAAAAGGTCAATCAATGCCCTTCAAAGGAGGCCCGTACATTAACTTGCATGTGCTATAAATATTGATGAAAATATCACCTGCGGAGTCTTGATGAATTTTATGATATCTGCCTAATAATGCCTCTGACATGCTAGACAGAAATGTTACTCTTGAAGATAAAGCCAAGAAATAAAAAGACATGACATACATAGAATGAGATTGAGAGAAGTTCAGAAAGAAATGGAAGCAATGAAGTTAATGTGAGACGGGAAAGATGATTCAAAAGGAAAAATAAATATTTATAAGAGCTAAGCAGTCACACTTTAAGATGCATCCATTCATCTATCACTCATCTAAAACAAGCCCTTCCAGCTAAACAATAAACTCTATCAATCAATTTTCTAGCTCTCAAGCTCCTTTTTCAAGTATCAAAGCTTGTTTAGACCACTTTTCAGTAATGTAAGGGAGGCAAGATTGAAAATGGTAATAAAAAGCACCAAAAGGATTTAAAAAAAATTACAGTCAAGAGTATAAACAGAAGCACACTAATGTATTATATAACTAGGGTAATATAACCTTGATAGTAATACAAGAGACCAAAATGTCAGCCTTTTGACTCCAAGGCTAAAAGTATCTTCTTTCTCGGACCCTGAAATCAACAAAGCAAAATCAAAATCGAATTAATAAATGCAGAATGTATTAATAATTACTGTATGAAAACGAGAGCAGGGTTGACAAAAACTAATAAGAATTTAAGAATTAGAAGTGCGGATTCCGCACTCCTTGATGATGCGTACCATTGGTATACCCATAGCCTTGAGATCATCATCAGTCATATGCTTGAGTGCAGTCATGTCAACCTGAAGAAATAGCTTTTAATCATAAATATTAACTCTTTAAGGTGGAACTAAAATTCAGTTATAATATTGTATTTTAGTCTGACTACATATTTGGATTATTTTGAATAAATAATCATTTCTTTTTGCAACTTATTAAAAGAACATTAAAAACCAAAAAATAAGGCAAAAGAACATGCATATCGAGAGGGGAGGGTTAAATAGATGTATGACATACTTCTTCAGCCTGAAAACCTATAAGATACTTTTCAAGACCCAAGGACAGCAAAAAATCATCCAATGGAGCATCAGCCTGTCAACAATAAACCAGGATTTAAACCGCATTAGTTTCCTCAAGTAAAGGAAAGCATATTGCTTAGCAACGAAATTTGGGAGACAAAAACAACAGTACATTTCACAGAACTGACTTATTTTGCACATATGAACAAAATGTAACAGTTTTATCCATTAATCGAGATACTATAATAAAAAAGATAAAGATAAAAAGATTGGGAAAATTTAAAGGATAAACCAAAATACATTAGATGAGACTAGTATCTAGGATAATCACATTCCAGGTCACCTCCATTTAATCAACCAGTTTGTTTGGATCACAGTATCACACACAAAATTAAGGCATCATCCGCTTTCATTTTCAGTATCAAATACCAAGTATCATAATAGCAAAATTTTAGTTATTAGCATTATTAGTTTATTTCAGCCTGCCATCAGTACCACATTGCCCAGAAGATTAATAATTAATTATGTAAAACTGTGAATATTAGGACCATGGGGTAGTTAGAAAATTATTTAGTTAGTTTGTTAGAGGGAGTTAGTGACATGGAATGGAGAAATAGGAGGACTGAAAGTAGGGGAATTCATTCTGTATCACTTGTAAATTGAGTTTTGCTCTTTGTTGAAAGGAGAGATCCTTTGTGAAGGAGAAATCCTAGGAGGAGAAATTTCACTGTTGTGTTGTGTTCATTTCTATTCTATCAATAATATCTTTCTTTCTTATTCCCCAATTTTATTCTGGGTGCGTAAGTAACAGTGACTAACACCCTCCCTGCCCTGGTACCAAATTCATTGCTACCTATTTTTTCTCTATCCTACCACAGGTATTCCCCAACTCATTGGACTAGAGACTAATCCTGCTCACAGTACTACTACTGCTGGCCCAATGAGTTGCTGCACACGGCAGGAATCAAACATGAGTTCTCCGCTAGATAGATCGTCCTCACATGTGAGGACAGGGTTGCCTATTATTCTTAAATACCTATACTTGCAACCCTTATCTAGATATTATTCATGCTTCTGTTTCAAATCAAATAATTCATTTCCAAAAAAAATATATAGAACTACTGAACTAATACCAAGCTGACAAGCTCAGTTAAATACATGACAATAGTCAAAAAGAAATTCATTTGGCTTACAAAAATCAATCCTAGGATTGGGAATACAGATTTTCAGATTAGATTCTCTGTATCTCATACCCTTATTAGAGATCAACATAAAAAAAGAAAATTCCCATGATGAATGTAGATTGTTGTTTGTGTAGAACAATCATAAAAAAATTCTCTTTCTTTAAAACATTTTTTTACCTAAATAATAAAAGGAAATTTGTAAAGAGAAAGGGCAGGAATGGTGCATTAAGAGTATCAACTGGTTTTATTTTTTCAAGTTTTCCTCACAGATACCAGTCTCACAAGTGAGGTTTAGTCTCACAAGCTTTATGTGTGATGAAACTTTTCTGTTTCAAGAAAGATGAATTCAGCAAATATAAGCCTCTGGCAGAGAATACCATCCATATTTGCTGCTGTTGCATTAGACAAAGCAAGAAATTACATGAACTCATATGACCACAAACAAATACAGTCCTCGGTTCTCACCCTCTCAAAGCATCTCAAAGATGCCAAGGTCAGTTCATTAATATATAGAAGACCCATGAGTCTATCTGATATATCACAGTAATAATATAATAAATTACTAATGCAGTCATCATCAAGTTTTTTTGGGGGTAAAGTCATCACTAGTTTAAATTGTCAATGGAAATGGAATGCTGAGTGTATAGTAATGAAAAGGTGGTGACAGAACATGACATACACTACAACCAACATCCTTGCTAGATCACTCAAAAAAAAAATCTCATCAATCAATAACCAAAAAATTATAAGTCAATTATAATACCTTCCGGGACCTTTTAGGAGTTGGGTTAGCTGATTTTTTGATATGTACATCAGGAGTCTCAGCATCAATACTTTTATTGCTAGGTTTAACAGCTACTTTAGGCTTTGGTGGGTCATAGTTTTTAGGTTGTGGAGTCATTGTCCCTGAAAGCTTTTCACGGAGATCCCGCTGACCAGGAACAGAACTCCTTCCAGTTTGACCTCCAGGGTGAAGACCTTTCTTTTGAAGCTTCAAACGAAGATCATGAGCAGTAACCTTGCGATCTTCACAAGTCATTAACACACAATCAAAACCCATAAAATGAACTATCGGTATCCAACAAGAGCAGCAACTTATACTTGCATATGAGAATAACATAATCAATCCATACTAGAGATCCGGGGCTCGTCATCCTCATAGAGATCATGTTTCCACTTGTCATCTTGCCTCTGCCTGCAAAAAACCATGATTTGGAATACATCAACAAGTTTTTTGTGTAAGTAACCATTTTACAAGATGAACATGCAACATAAAATGTAGTGCTAGACAATCAAGTAGTACATTATAAATACAACTAAAACAGAACCCAGTCAATGAATGAGCATTGCTCCAACAAGTTTGTCCTCATGAATAAGGTTGCCAAGTGTATTTTGTGCTATACTTCCACTCAGCAAGATCATAGGATCCCATAGATTCCACATGCTGAGAAACAATCCCGGGACAATACATGTAGAAACACATTTCTTCAGAGATCAGGACCACACCAAGTTACCAACCTTCCCACCCCACCTCATCAAATCAAACAATTCAATGTGTAGGATAACAATTTTGACAACCAAACTCTTTGCGGTGTGCCAGTAAAGAAAAAACCCAACAATTAGAACCCTCCCTCCACCATACCAAAAACAATTTAATTTACAGTTGCAGCCAGGGAAAAATATCTACCCAAACCATCACCAAAACCCCACATACAAAAAGTTTACAATCACACAACAAAATAGTAAAATGCTAAAGGGATAACTCCAATAAATAACCTTGCACCGGCTAAATATTCAAAGGCTCAAAGCCATTCAAACAATGCGAATCGAATAATCCTCTGATTATTGACATCAATCAATCCTCACTACATCATCATAAGCCCCAACCCCAGCCAAGTATTCACCAACGGTTTTAACTCTCAAGGCACTCCTCCAAGGCCCAGGCCAAGGAAATTTCCCAATTGTTAACTTTTACACACAGAATAACACACAAAGATAAATCAATCAAACACCATCATTAACCTAACTCATGAACCCTTATCACCACAATTCCTTGCCACCACCCCTAAGCAACGACATCCTAAAACAAAAACTGAACCCCTCACAACCATCACAACAATATCATGAAACCGCTAGCATAAAAGCTTGCTCACACCATCTGAAAAATGAAGAATGTAACTCAACACAACACCAAAGCCACCAATATTAAGCATACCCACAACGAATAATCCACATATACATAGTTTTCCACAGTGAGAATGGTTTACATGCAGTAACAACATTAATAACAACAACAACAACAACAAAAGAACCTCTTTCCGGTGATTTTGTGCTGGCGCGTAGAATCAGAGGCGAAATTCCCATCAAGGCGTTCCTTCACTGATCTCCGAGTTCCACTTTCCACTCGATCAGAATACATCCTTGGCGTTAGTTCCAAACGAAATCAAAACCTAAACACTAACACTTATTTGGTTGCGGGGGTGCAGGAACCCAGATTGTGAAAACGGCTGCAGAGAATGAAAACCCTAATTCGGTTTGATCGAAGGTTGATGGATAGAGAATCGGTGGAAACGGCTTCTTTGTGGCGAAAAGAAAACGAAAACAAATGGAGAGAGGAAATTTGGCGTTGGGAGTTGGGACCTGTGAGAGTCTATCAGGTCTCCATGCGGTCGCAGTTAGAAGAATAGAGTGAGTGAGTGAATGGTGTTCATCACGGCAACCAATCGGGTTGCGTTTGATTTGGATGCATTTATAGTATATGTGGATTTAGGTGTCGTTTGGAATAAGCAACTAGTCATTTTTTTCATGCACGAATTTTTATAAATTTTAAAAGATTTTTGAAAAAAATGTCATGATTTTTAAGTTTTTTTTAAATGATTTTATGAATTCAACCGAAAAACAAATTTGTAAAAGTGATAAAGGTTGACGATGCTAAAAGAATAAGCTCAATTGGCTAAAAGGAGTCAGGAAGCAAAAATATGATAGTTATTAAAAAATGAAAAATATATTTTAGAGAAAGCAAATATTGTGCATAAACAAGAATAAATAGTTGAGAGAAGTGGTTTTAAGAGAATAAATTTTTTAACTTTAGCTAGTATAAAGACAAAATAAAGGAGAAAATTGCAAAATTGAACATGGTGAGAAGTGTTAAAAAAATCTTTGATTTAGAGTTGGAAGGTGTTGAATAAAAAATATGAAATTGTGAAGAAATATTATCAATGGAGTTTAAAATCAAAGAGTTTACTAAGAAATTGATGGTTGAAAATTTCAAGGCCCAACAATATGAGAGGAAAGGATTAGTATTTTAGCAAAATATATATATACATATATATATATATATATATATATATATATATATGTACTATCCGCGCCTAGCACCGAGCTCGAACTCGACACTGAGCCCCGCATGACATTGGATAAGTACTACAAGACATCGGCCAAAACAAAGGCCCATCATCTGAACGGGTCACAACTGACCTCAAGTTCAAATAAATCCTAATTCATACTAAGGTACGTGCACTACATATATGAGACCCATACACCCACAAATACTAACTTTAGCATCGGAATCTCTATATATATATAGAATAGAAAATTAGGTTGTTTATGTTTTCACCAAATTTTAAATCGGTGGGTTAAAATTTTGAGTAAGAAGTTAGGAGTTTGTAGCCTCCAATGCAAGGAGGAGTATGGAGAGATTATCTTTAGATGTTGTCCATTCATAAGTATGTTTGGCTAAAATAGTATTTTAGTACCTTATAATAATTGTTTGTTTCAATTTAGTCCCACTTTTATTTTTGGTCTCAATTTGGTCCCTAATAAATTAACTGGTTGCAATGTCAGACTTCTGTCCAAATTATTTAAACGGAGTTAACTGTTGGCCACGTGGATGCCACGTAGATGCATAGGTGGATGCCACGTGGATACCAAATTTTTTGAAAACACCTAGAACCAGAACGGGCCGTTCTGGGTGCACTCTTGGTGTGTTAATTTTGCATCCGGAACGACCTGTTCCAGGTGCAAAATTAACACACTAAGAGTGCAACCAGAACGGGCTGTTCTAGTTTCAGAATGGGTCGTTTTGTTCCAGACTGCTAAACACAAACAGTCAATGATTATAGTTCACGGTTGTGAATCGTGGAAGGAAAAAGACCCAAGGTACAAAGCATTTCAAACACTGGATTTGGTAATATTGTCAATGAAAATTGATAACTTCAATTGTTAAACAGTTGGGCTATATAGTGTATCATTAAGGACAAATGCAGTGTATCACTAAAGACAATGGTAGCAGATTTTATTTCATTGTTAGTCAAACTAAAGTGAATCACTTACTACCAAATTGACACTATACAGTAAAGGATGAAATGACATGATATTTTTCCTTGAAATCATTAACGATATACCCCAACAACAACAACCTGTTCTTGAAGAGGTAGAACCTGAAGTAAAGGAAGAGGATACACAGGACTAACATTTCACCACACAACCACATGCATGGACGAATCTAAGTTAATCATAGTGGAGACACTTGCTCCCACTAAAATTTTTTTCATTCTTTTTTTATATATAAAATATTAATAATTTTATAAAATATATATTATTAATTATATTTTAATTATGTTGTTATATCTAATATAATAAATACATTAATATTTTTTTATATTTTATTTTATTGTTTAATT